ACCCCGCTATGACATATGTGTTTGGAGTCGGGAACAATCTCCCACCATGTGGCTGGTATTTCCTCACTCAAAGCAACCTTTCCGCTTACGTGGCTATGGAAACTATCCGGTATGGGTAACCTGAGACCTATGGGTACCTGAAACACCGTGCGGAACCTGAAGTGCACACTGAACTGGATGACCCACAAAAACCTCTACCATGTTATACCCTACCTCCAAAATAGGAACTAGTTGGTCTCTCTGGTCTACGAGGCCTCTTAGCCTCCCTTCCCTCTCTCTCCTAATTCTGCATGCAATCTAATTGACGAGCGATCTCTACCATCTGCTGAAATGAAACATCAGACTCTAACTCCTGAGCCTTGTTGAACCGAATATCATGACTGAGTCCCACAATGAACCTGCGGACTCGCTCTCTAACTGTAGAAAATAAAATAGGCACATGTCTGGATAAATCACTGAATCTAACAGCATACTCTGACACTGACATAGTCCCCTAGCACGGCTGCTCAACTCCACGCGCCATGCATCCCGAAGGGTCTGGTGAACAAACTCTCTCAAGATCACCTCTGAAAACTGAACCCATGGAAGTGAAGCTGCATCGGTCGGACTACCCAACTAATACGCTCGCCACCACTAATATGCTGCTACCTTAAGTGGGACCGTAGTAAAAAGCAACTCCACTTACCTCCACAATACCTATAGTGCGGTGAATACGGTAGCACTCCCCTAGGAACCCATGCACATCCTCTGAAGCTAAACCGCCGAAAGTAGGAGGGTAATACTTCTTGAACTTCGCAAGTATAACCTGTTCTTTCTCATATGATGATGCCCTAACAACGGGTTGAACTGGGAAAACAAGCTGTGTCAGTATGACACATGGAACCTGACCAACGTGGACTCGCTTCTCTGGAGTACGTGCGGAGGAAATCTAAGTTCCTCCCCCGATCTGTGAAGTAGCTGGTGCAACCGAAATCAACTTTCCGCCTGAGCTAATGTACCAAACATGCTCAGGAAACGTGCTAAAGTCTTTTGGAGCCCTGGGGTAACCACAGGCACCTCCGGTACCTGTACTCCAACAGGAGCTACTGGCGGCTCCTCAACGGCTACTCTGATGGGTGCTCTACCTGTAGCACGTGGCCTCTGCCCTGGCCCCTAGTAACGCCGGCTCTAGGGGTAGTGTTGTCGGTAACTGCAACTCGTGTCCTCACCATTTGTGAGAGAATAGAATGACAAAGTTCAAACTCCAAGATCAATAAACTTGAACGATAGCAATGAAAGAAGTGAAATTGTCCTAATAGTTCTGTAGCCTCTCGAAGATAAGTATATACGTCTCTGTACCGATCTGCAAGACTCTACTAAACTCGCTTATGATTCGTAGCACTTATGAACCTAGAGCTCTGATACCAACTTATCACGGCCCCAATTTCCCTCTGTAGGATGTCGTGACGACACCTAGCCCCTAGGACTAGGCAAGCCTAACACTTACTAAATAATTAGAAGAATTCAACCATCAAATGAAAAATACAAGATAAAAATCTTACACAAATTATAATTCCCAAAACTGGTAGTACAAGTCATAAGCTCTACTGAATTTGCTAGAAAATCCCTGAATACACAGATGGAATTAAATAGTATAATAAAAATATCAGAAGGTGACTCCGAGACCTGCGAACACGACTACATGTTTATCTTGAGTCTCCACAGAAAATCAAATAAAGGGAAAGCCATCAACATTTCAATGAGAATAACCGCTTTCACACCAAATCTATTCAAGCATTTCCACTAGGTACCGAACCTCATAATCACAGCTCATGGGTCCCAATTCATGAACCCTAATCACTTGGCATCTTGTGCCCACGTTACAACTCATAACCGCACGGACGACTCACGTGCCAATAGAACAATCCTCACATAGAAGGCAAGAAGACAAGAGTACGTATAATGGTTAATATCATCTGGATTCACCTTTTAAAATCGATATGGGTGATTTAACTACGTGTATGCTTGTGCAAGTACTCTACCATAATTCCAGTCAACAAATAAGAGTAGAGTCAATGAATGACATATAATCAACGATCACCATGAAATGTATGGTGTAACATAAGCAGCAACGAAGTTTGAAGCTGCGAGCAGCACAACAATATTAGCTACACTTAGCTGAGCAAATAGTGCAACACTGAGAAAAATAATTAATAGTATGCTAAGGAAAACAACAATCAAAGACAAGTGCACAGAATGGGGGAAATAATAACAAGAGCACTCCTGAGGTACCGCCTCGTAGTCTCAAATCGTAAATAAATCACAATATTCCTTATATCACTACGCAAACCTTTATATTTAATCTTTGAAAATTATTTTCCGAAATAGCATCTCGCGTTTTAGCCCACCTTATCACACCGCATGGCTTCTAGTAGTTCCCATACTAGCCACACATTTCAAGCCCACCTCATCTCACCTCATGTGTTTCAACACCCAGACCTTATACCACTGCATGTGTATTAATAACAACCGCACAGCAGAAACCTCGTGCAAACACATGATAATTTTCTCACAAAAACACATATGCCAAGAAAATAACAACTCAGAATAATTGACTTTCACAACATTTCCACAAAACAGTTTCAATATCACAACCACGTGTTGTCCTCGACTCAACAACACTGAATATAACAACAACAATGACAATAACACGAGAATACGGGAAGTAAATCAACACAAGAACTTCAGAACACAAAGAAACGGAAGAACGAACTCACACAGAAAGACACAACAGGGAAATAATAGTATCAACAAGAATAGTTTAACAAGGGTGACGTAATGTGTAACAAGGATTCCACAAAAGTGCAATTTGACAGCAAGAGAGATAGCATGAATCAATGACCCCTGATAAGAATACGTCAACAATGAAAGGGGTAACAAACTTCCATTAAGGCTAAGCAATTACAGAAGATATAATAATGACTTCAATTAAGGTTAAGTAATTACGGAAAGGATAGCATGATAATAAAAGAGGCAACAACTTCAGTTAAGGTACATAAGAGTTTAATCGGCAATAAGGGTAGGACATGAAGCAATTAATTTCAATTAAGACATGTAAAGATGAATTTAGTAAATGAGAAATTTAACATGACAAAACAACTTTATATTTAATGGACATAAGAACCTAAGAGCAATAGACGGTCAAATTCCACAAATAAGTCCGGGCACGTACTAGTCACCTCGCGTACTCGGCCTTCACATGACACAATTAGCACAAAAGACTCGATACCTAAGCGGTAGTTCCCCTCCCCCCCTCCCCCCACAAAGTTAGACGAGATACTTACCTCAAAGAAGCCTTATACTCTAAAATGACCTTCTCGCGTGAAACAACCTCCGGACGGCTCAAATCTAACCAAAATAACTTCAATTCATACCTAAAACTTATAGAAAATAATTCCGGATAATAAGGCTTCGATTTCTAATTAAAATTAAAAAGTCAACCCAAAAGTCAAACCATGGGCCGGCACCTCGGAGTCCAATAAAATTTACAAAACTTGAACACCTATTCCAATACGAGTTCAACCATACAAAAATTATCAATTTCCGACATCAATTCATTCTTCAAATCATCATTTTACATTTTGAAAGATTTCTTCAAAAATTCCTAGTTTTCTCAACACATAACACTAATTATTAGATAAAAATAAAGATAGAATCATGGAATATAATAAATTCTAAATGAAGAACACTTACCCCAAGGATTTGTTTGAAAAATCTATGAAGAATCGCTCAAAACCGAGCTCTACAAGTCAAGATATGATAAAAATGGCCAAACCATCGATTTTGAAAATTATATTCTGTTGCCCAAGTAACAAGAATCGCGATCGCGAATATATGTATGTGATCGCGAAGAAGAAAAATTATCATTTGCCAAAGATTGTGCTACGTGAACGCGAATGGAGAGGTGCGAACGCAGTGAACTAAGGATCTAAAGCTACGCGAACATGATGGCACTCCGCGAACGCGAAGGCTAACACCCATGGCCTTCCCCAGCCTGGTCGCCTACTACGCGATCACGAAACAACGAATGCGAACGCGATGAAGCAGAACTCCTACTTCCGTGATCGTGAACCCTTAGCTGCGAACGCGAAGAACATTTTCAACGTGCCTCCAAATTACACTACTCGAACGCGGCTCCTCTGACATGAACGCGATGAAGAGAAACCACATGACAGAACCAACACTTCAAAACATAAAGAAATGGTCTGAAGCTTGTCCGAAACTCACCCGAGCCCCTCGGGACCCCGTCCGAGTCTACCAACAAGTCCTATAACATAACACGGACCTACTCGAGACCTCAAATAATATCAAACAACGTCGAAACTACGAATCTCACCTCGAATCAAACCTATAAATTTCCAAATCTTCTAACTTCTAAAACTCGTACCGAAACATATCAAGTCAATCAGGAATGACGCCGAATTTTGCATGCAAGTTCCAAATGACATAACAGAGCTAATCCAACCCTTGGAATCAAAATCCGACCCCGATATCACCAAAGTCAACTCTTGATCAAACCTCTTAACTTTTCAAAACTTTAATTTTTAAATTTTTGCCAAAATGCTTCAAATTACCTTACGAACCTCCAAATCCGAATCCGGACGCACACCTAAGTCCAAAATCACCGTACGAAACTATTGGAACCATCAAAATACCATTTCGGGGTCGTCTACACAAAAGTTAAATTCCGACAACTCTTACCACTTAAGCTTCTAAAACACGAATCCTTCTTCCAAATCAATCCCGAATCATTCAAAATTTGAACTCGACTACGCACGCACGTCATAACATATTATACGGAGCTGCTCGAGACCTTAAGCCACTGAACGGATCGCTAATTTTTAAAATGACCGATCGGATCGTTACAATTGCTAGTTATATATAATCACAATATAAAAGTTTTATGTCAAGTTGGTAATTATATCATGCGAAATATGAAAGTTAATTGTAGGGAGAAAAAGTTACTAGCTACCTCTGACAAATTTGATAAATAAACTATTACAACAATTAAATTACAATAATAGCATAAAAATGCTTTGTAAAATAAAATGATGCCCTGGTTTAAATGCTGCGCCAAAGGATGTGAATATGACTATAATCTTATTGCTAATTATTTATTGTTACACAGTGCAACAAGCTCTTCCACCACTCCATCTATCTCTTCATCACCTTTTGCATTCATTTTCTCACTCAATTCTCTAACTTTTTTCCTCACATCCTCCCCACTTCCCTCTACTACCACTTTCCTTATCACCTTTGCAATCTCTTTACTTTGTAACTTCCCATTATCATCATCTCTCACTGCTTCAAGTCCTATCCCAACATATTCCACAAGCTTAGCATTCATTGGTTGGTCAATATGCATTGGCATTGCAATTATAGGCACACCAAATTTCACACTTTCCATAAAAGAACTCCATCCACAATGACTCACAAAACCGCCAATACTTTTATGTTTAAGAATTGTTGCTTGTGGAGCCCATTTTTCCAAAACCATTCCTCTATCTTCTACCTTTTCAAGAAATTCTTTTGGTAATGCATCTTGAATAGTACTATTTTTTACACCTTGTGGAACCCTAATGACCCAAATAAAGTTCACTTTACTAAGCTCTAGTCCTTGAGCTACTTCATGTATTTCTTCTTTGGATAAAAAATACTCACTCCCAAATGAAACAAACACAGTTGAACTTTTTTCTTTCTTGTCAAGCCATTGTGTGATTTCATCATTATTATCTTCGTTGACAGAATCTTGAACGAGTGAACCAACCGGGACTATTTTCTTAGAAACCAAACTTGAAAAATAATCCATATATTTCCCTTCAAACTCTTTGCAAGTTTTCACTAAAATAAAGTCGCGAGATTTCCTAAGTGCCTCGTCGAATGGGGACTTATCATCTTTTGATTCTTCCATAATTTTCTTCATCTGAACCATCTCGTATTTACGCAGGTAAATTTCAGGAAATGGGAAGTCTTCCCCCCGCTTTTCAAACATGTGAAAGGCAAAAGCAAGGACAGCAGCGCTAAAAGTGAGGAATTGCACAGCAGGAATGTTCATAGAAGACGCGAACGTAGCAGCCCACGGCTGGATAAAGTCATAAATGACCAAATCAGGATTTAAAGTTTGCAATATTTTGGAAAAATTTGGACTTGACCTTTCAAAAGCTGTTTTAAGGGTGTTCATAAGATGGGGTGGGAGGCCATTTGTAGTGTGGTAATAAGGAGGAAGATTTGGTAAAGATGGAAGATGAAGCTCAACTAATTCAATTGATTTAGAATATTTTTCTGTCACACTTTTCTTGATAGAGTTTAGATTTACAGGAGAAGAACACATGTAAATGTGGAAATTCCTCTTTGTAAGTCTTTTGGCTAGCTCTAAAAATGGACTTATGTGACCATGGGCTAACCATGGTAACATGAGTATACTAATGGTGTTTTTCTTGCCCTCCATTAATAACTATAGATCTCTCTCTCTTTGATGGTTCTGTAAGTATATACTATATGGTGATAATATATTTATAGTATATAACAGTGTAATTAAATAGATTATTGTATTGCTCATCTAGGTGTGAGCTGTTTGGCTTGGTGTATTTTATACATTTTATTATTGAGACTGTTTAATTAATTATACGTTGAGTCTCTTGTGCGTTCCAAGGTATATATGTGCGTAATTGATTACGCAGCACATATAAAAATGGGGAATATTATTGATAATAGACAAGCTAGGGGTGTAGTAGCCTTCCCTCCCCGAATGACGTTAATTTTAAATATTATATCTTTAGCCAAACTTCTAAAATTAACTTATTTTAAAAAGTAACTTTAAAAAAAAAATACTTTTGGTGAGAAATAATTTATGTTTGGCTAATTAATTTGAAAAATATTTTTGAGCAATAATTAGTATTTGGCCAAGTTGTTAAAAAGTGATTTTAAATATATTTTTTTCACAAGTGCTTCTTGAAAAAGTACTTTTGGAGAGAAACTATTTTTTCTGTTTCTCAAAAATTATTTTTGCTTCAACTCAGAAAACAAACATTTTTTTTTCCTTCTAAAAGCTTGTCCGGACACCTTAAAGTTATTAAAAACAAAACAAAAAAAACAATTTAGCAAAAAAAACGCTTGGCCAAATAAACTAATCAGTTTATAACATATTTTTGTTCTGGGGCTATCTGCGAAAGCTATTTCGTATGTTCTATCTTATTTGACACTATCTTTTATTAGTTTGTTTCAAAAGAAATGAAATCTTTATTATATGTAATGGTATATTTAAGAGTATAAGTTTTAAAAATATATTATAATCACACAAATATAAATATTATATCACATTTAAAATTATAAATTTTAAAATTTTCTTCTTACAAATAGGAGAGGCATGATGTGAATCCTACTCTACCTGGACATAACATACTTAAACTTCTTATCCCGTTAAATTACTATCACATAAACCGAAACAGAACTAAGTATATATGATTTTGCATTAGGTTGACACGCGGACTCTGTTTAGAATCATCCATTTGGACTGTTTCCTTCTGACGACTCAAATTAGTCTTTTTGTTCCGATTAGTTTGACACTTTCTCACTTTTATTCCTCCTAAAAAACATTTTCTCTCTTCTGGTTTCTTTTTTAGTCTGTTCCAAAATAAATAACAAATTTTTAAATTTAAAAATAATTTAACTTTAAATTCTTCATTTTACCCATTTTACTTCTAATGAGAAGTTTTTATAATCACACAAATGTCATGTCCCCACAAAGCTTTTATCCATCAAGCTTTTAAGACCACAAATTTCAAAAAAAAAAAAAAAATTCTTTTTTTTCTTAGACTCCATGTCAATCAAAATACCTCATTTAAATTAAAACGGAGAGAGTATTACTTCTCTATATTCATAGTTTTCCTTTACAGACTTGCTCGTTTTTTAAGCTTTTTGTCAATGGTCATATGGAATAAATAAAAAAAGTTAAAATATGTGTGAAAGAGAACGTATAGAAAAGTATCCTATAGTTGGCTATAGATCTAGATCTATACAACTGAATGGCGAAAAAGTATCCCATACATAGTATACTAGTTACTTTTATTTGTATATTTTTATTTTGTCAATTTGTCATATGAATTACTCCCTCCATCCAATTTATGTGGCATGTAATTTAAGAAAAAAATAAAAAAATTTAAAATTTATGGTCTAAAACAAATCATAAATATTTATACGATTATAAATCATTTTATTAAGGATAAAATATGAAATTTGGAGTTAAATTATTTTTATATAAAAATATAATTCTTTTTAAAACGGATTAAAAAGGTAAGTATTAGTGTATGACACATAAATTGGGAGGTAGGGAGAGTAAAACAAAGATGAATTGAAGAGAAAAGAAAAGAGCAACCAAATTTGACCATTTTCAGGAGAAGTCCAGTATGACGGTTCCCCCCTTAAGAAAGAACAAGTTTAATTCTATATTTTTCAGTCTGCCTTCTAGTTTTTAAGACTTTGTCATATCTATTATTGAGACACGAAAAATCGACAGCATAATTATTTTATTATCCGAGAATTGAACCAATCTTAAGTATACTTTGAATTCAAGAAACTTAACTTAATAGAAAATTCTTTTATGTTTCGTCATCATCAACGGAAGCAGATCTAGAGTTATTTAATTTTCATTTAGTTCTTATTCTAAGCTAACGTTTATTTCAGTTGCAATTGAGTTTCAGATTCAGGGATCAATTTTTTTATGAGCACTCGATATACACATGTATTAGTATGTGGAAGAGTGAAGGGGTCACGACTCAGAATTCCCCCTAATTATAGATAGTCTTTGCGAGGATTTTGCTATGTCAAAAAAGAAACAACATGTTATGAAATAAAAATAATATAACAAGAGTTATGTAATTACTAGAACTTAACATAAGAAAGAATAATAATATATTAGAAGAGAGGAATTTTTCTATTTTCAATTATATCGAATAGGTTCATCAGTGAACCTATATATAGAAATATTTCGCTGTTATAAAACCAATCCAAAACATGTTATGAATACATAATCAATCCAAAAAATGTTATGAATACATAGCCAATCTAAAACATGTTATGAATTCATAACCAATCCAAAACTTGTTATGGAAGACATCCATCGTTGCAAGTGGATCGCAAGATTTATAACACTTCCCTTTGGATGTCCATTAACAGATAATGTGTCTCATTAAAACCTTACTAAGAAAAACCCAGTGGGAAAAATCTTAGTGAAGGAAAAAGAGTACACACATCTTGTAATACGCATTAAGAGATGCCTCATCAAAAACCTTACCAGGAAAACTCAAATGGGACAAAACCTTGGTTACGAAAAAAAGAATACAACGCGTATTTCTCCCCTGATAAAAACCTTATTTGATATCTCGGAGATGACGCATTCCAATCTTGTATCTTAACTTCTCAAATGTTGATGTCTCAAATGTTGATGTCGACAATGCCTTAGTGAACAAATCTACCAAATTATCACTTGAACGAATTTGTTGAATATCTAATTCACCATTCTTTTGAAGATCGTGCGCGAAAAGGAATTTTGGTGAAATATACTTTGTTCTGTCTCCTCTAATATATCCCCCTTTTAGTTGAGCTATACATGCAACTTTGTCTTCATATAATGTTATTAGGATATCCATTCCCCATGAAAGATTACATATCTCCTGGATATGTTGAGTTATTGATCTCAACCAAACGCATTCTCGACTCACTTCATGAATGGCTATTATCTCTGCATGATTTGAAGAAGTAGCAACCATAGTTTGTTTTGTTGAACGCCATGATATGGCAGCTCCTCCAGACGTGAATAAATAGTCTATTTGAGATCGACCTTTATGTGGGTCAGACAAATATCCTACATCTACATAACCAATCAGTTGTGACCTAGATTCATATGAATAAAATAATCTCATATCAATGGTCCCTCGCAGATATATGAATAGATGCTTAATACCATTCCAGTGTCTTTGTGTTGGGAAAGAACTAAATCTTGCTAATAAACTAATAGAGAAAGCTATATCTGGTCTAGAATTATTAGCAAGATATATTAATGCCCCAATTGCACTAATATATGATATTTCAGCACCTAGAAGTTCTTCATTATTTTCATGAGAATGAAATGAATGTTTATTTATATCAAGCGATCTCACAACCATCGGGATATTAAATGGATGTTCTTTATCCATATAAAAGTGCTTCAAAATATTTTCTGTGTATGTTGATTGATGGACAAATAGTTCATTGTTCAGATGCTCAATTTGTAAGTCAAGACAAAATTTTGTCTTTCCAACATATTTAATTTTAAATTCTTTCTTCAAACATTCTACTACCTCTGGAAGCTCTTCAGGAGCTCCAATGATATTCAAGTCATTAACATACATAATTATTATGACAAATTCAGATCCAGATCTTTTTATAAAGATACGGGAACAAATTGGGTCATTCTAGTACCCTTTTTTCAATAGGTATTCGCTAAGGCGATTATACCATATGCGCCCTAATTGCTTCAATCTGTATAAAAATTTCTGAAGCTTTAATGAACAAGTTCCCCAGGAATCTTTGTATGTTTCAGGCACTTGAATCCTTCAGGGATTTTCATAAAAAATTTGTTGTCCAGTGAGCTATATAAATAGGCCGTGACAGATTTGAGCTCAAGATCAACGTCAATATTAATAATATTGAGTGCTAAATTATATCAACAATATCGTTGACGATTAGTTTATATCTGTAATGACCCAACCGGTCATTTTGAGTATTATAATCTTGTTCCCCTATTTACTGCTCAAATTGTGATTTACGGTTATCATTTAACTTACCAGGGTAATTGGTTCGGGTCCGGTGAGGTTTTGGAATGATTTGAAACACTTAGTTCCAAGGTTTAGAAGCTTAAATAAAAAGAGTTGACTGATTTGACTTTTTGTGCAAATGACTTCGGAATGGAGTTTTGATGGTTCCAAAGCTCTATATGGTGATTTTGGACTTAGGAGCATGTCCGAAAAATTACTTGGAAGTCAATAGTTAAAGTAGGCTTGAAATGACTAAAATAGAAATTTAAGTTTGGAAGTTTGACCGGGGAGTAGACCTTTTGATATCGGGGTAGGAATCTGATTCTGAAAATTTAGAATTGGTCTGTTATGTTATTTATGACTTGTGTGCAAAAATTGAGGTCAATCGGACTTGATTTACAATGTTTTGGCATCGATTCTTCAAGAATACATGGTATCATATTAAGAAAATAAGCTCCAAATTCAATTTTAATTGAAGAATTAGATTCGTATTGAAATTTTGGAGCCATAACAAAAAGAATCGTTGAATTCGGATATGGTATGAGAGAGTTATGCCCATTTCCGCACCGGAAATGACTTTTCGTCACCGTCAGCGCCCAGGGTAGCGCGGGGCGCTAGCCCTGGCGCTGGGATGTTTAAAGGTACTGGAATCAGCGCCACAAGCAGCGCCCCTATGCCACCTGTGGCGCCCGAATCAGCTGAGGCCCTATAA